TAATCAGGTCTAATCAAAGTTCATCTCCCAGACCTTTTTCACTATAAAGAAGCCATTTTAATGAGATCATTTAGCTCTCAAGAGTGCCATATTAACCATTAAAAATGTACCTTCTTTTTATATATTATTATTCCATAACAATAAAAATTCTTTCAGCAGAAGAAAAGGACAAATTCATTTTTATTTGTAAGAGTGAGGGAATGAAAAGAAATTGAGATAGTAAATATAATTTTTTCATTTAGTTTTGAAAATTCTGAATACATCGTTTACACCCCACCTGCTGAAATACAGAAGGTTTGCATCAACATTTTTAAGGGTTTTCTGAGGGTTACATAACCTGAAGCTGTCTCCTTCCCTTTCAGGGACATTTATATATTTATCTTAAAACTACTCAAAGGAAGAATCTTGGGCAATGATTTTGATTCTGGTCAAATATGGAAATTTGCTTTCTCTAGATATATATTTGCTTTCTGGGGGGTATTGTTTGCAATGTAGACGTAATGTATCAGCAGAGGCATTATCTTCTCTCACCTTAGGATTTTATTGTTCCATGAACGTTTCTACATATACATGTGTAGGCTATTATTCATTTGTTATGTTTCCTATTTTTTTTCCCCACTTAGCAGGGTACAGATTGTGTGTGGGCATACTTCACTTCTGACTGCACAGCTTGTTTGTGGAGGACTGTCCCCAGGACAAGCTCTTGGAGTCATAGGTACAAAAGAACTGGCATTGTTAAAATAAGCCAGTTATAACCCCAGCTCTGGGGATGGTGAGAGAAAGTGTCCTGATAGTGTGTTTGCCTCATTCTGCAGTTATTTTATCTGAGATAAATGATGGAAACCTAGAACATCATGCTGGATGCCATGGATCAATTTTTCCAGCTCCTTCTGTAAATCAGTTTGAGTTCTAAAACACAGTATTTTTTTTTGTATCTGGAATTCTATATGTGCATCACATACTTACATCAGAATCAAGTCATTCATAGGTTAGCTTTGTGGGAAGATCATAATTTTATCCAAAAATTGAACTCTGGATGAGGTTTGTTGTGGAAAGCTTTTAAGTTGTCTAGTGTTGATTATACTGGCAATATTTTGTTTGTGATATGGCACTCTTTCTTTGTATTTTTCTGTATAATTATATATCTAACATGTTATGTTACCTAAGTGAAGAGATGAGGTATCATATTATTTTAACTTTATTGAATGATGTTTCAAGATTGAAACCTTGTACTGGAGGGAAATGCCTTGGATAAGACAATACGAAGATTCAACCACTGATCATTAACTTCTAACAATGAACCCCTGATGAAGCAAGCTCCAAGAAACAAGGTGATGAAAGTCTGTTGAAGGGAGCAAGACAATAATACAGATACACTCTGAAACACTTGAGGGATTTTAAAAGTTGTTTTGCTCCCTGACAGATAAAGACTTTGCTAAGACAGCACTCTGACTTGAGAACTTCTCTTGTTGTAACTCACAGCTGAGTGACAGGCTTGGCAGACTAAGGGATAGAAATCTAATCCCTCCTAATGGATGATAGAGCTCAAATCTTCTGACCTCCCAGGTTAAAAATGAATACAAATCTCAGCTATTTTTGAACAGTTCTAGTCCCTTACATGAGTAAGACATATTACAACTGGAAAAGTTACACTGAGGACGATGAGTATGATCAAAGGTATGAAATGGCTTCAGTATGAAGGATGATTAAATTGTGTAGTCTGGCCTGGAAGAGAAATGATACAAGGTGGATATGGCAGGATGTCATGAGTGTCAGGGAGAAGGTAAATAGGGAAAGGTTGTTTACTGTCTTTTCTAATACAAGATGTAAGAGACATCAGATGAGATAAGTATATGTCAAATTCTAAACTAATAAAAGGAGATACTTCTTCAGGTACAGCTATCTATGGAATTTTCTGCTACTGGACATTAGATGCTCTGAGTGCAGAAAACTGAATGTCACATGCATGAAAATAAAAAAATCACTGACTAATACTTTTCTACACAGAGTACTTGACTGCTATAGATTTGGTGTATGTTTCAAAAAGTACCTTTGCTGTGTTTGCTAGAGATCTGCTGTTGGCTATGTCAGGTACATAAAATTGGGATAGATTCTTTTGATACATTATGACTTAGGTTAGACCTAAGTAAATGTTTCTTGTTACAGAGAATTTTATTGCCTAGCTGTAATTTCTGCTGATGCCCACATTTCCTACTCAGGTTTATGTCTCATTTGGAAACTGATTACTCTGGTCACAGGTGACTGTGACTTCGAAGAAGCGAAAGAGCTAGAGAAACCTTTATAGAAACATTACAGAGTATACAGAGCTTGCATTTTTCTCTATATGTGAAGCCTGCACACACCTTACATACATGTGAATATATTATGAGTTAAATTAAATCTGCAGGGGGTAAAAGGACAACTGTTCTTAGTCGCTTTTCAGTGAAATTGTCCCTAATGATTTATACATATAGCATTTGTCACAAAATGGAGATGTGCTTTCAGATGGGTCTGTATATTCTAGAGTTAAATATATCTGCAAGGAAATGGGACTATTTATTCTTTTGAAAATGTCTCTCAGAATGTTCCACAAAATATCTCTTTTATGAAACAACTAGAAATAACACTTTTGCTTTGATACACACCACAGTGGTATAAAATAGAGGGCTTTCCATTTTCTGAAAGATCGGGAGCAGTTTTGTATCAGGACATTGTATCTCTATTTTTTAATATTAGGAAAGCTATCACTCTCTGTCATTTCTGAACAATGTTTCTAGTTATCCATTGATGAAAGGCCAGTTTTGCAGAAGAATTGGTAACAGAACAAGACAACTGTCCTTTAAAAAAACAACGATCTTTTAGTTGGCTGAAATATGGTGCTGCACAATAACATCTTTTGCCTGGTTAATTTTCAATGTTGTTTTGGTTACTAGGGGAAAATCCATTAGTATATTATCATGTTGGTCTCTCTCTGAGCTTGCCTATGATTTCACTCTGCCAGTAATCTGTAAGATCATTAGATAAGGAAGTGTGGGTGGATAGACGCGACTGTTATTAAAATTTAAGACCTTTTCATAAAGAATTCCTGTGCCAGTTAGTGTCTCAACCCTGAATCAGTAAATAATGTTTATTGCTTTCTTCTATAGAACAAACATTAGAAGGAGGGAAAAATTCGGTGATGGTCACATTCAATTCACCAGACCAACACAAAATAATTAAGTCATATTGATTTCATACACTGGGGTCATATTAGACCCCTACATAAACAGCTTTGTCCTTTCTACTTTGAAGGTGGCATTACTCCTAAAACATTCCAAGCTATTATTATAGAAAAATATGAGACAGTGACTAATAGCATGCATTTTGGTTCCAATTATGTCCAAACAGAAGCAAAATAACATAAAACTAGGGAAAATCAGTATTACATATATTCTTAATCTCACAAGTATGAAAACCAAACAAGAAGTTGAAGCCTAAAGGAGAGGTTTTAAAGTGTTTTTTATTATAATATTTATTATTTATTTAATTATTATTATTAACTAGTGTATCAAAACCTTGGCAGTCCTAAATGTTGGTTTTTACACGTAAATATCCCCACTTAAGTCTGGCTTCCAAACAATGTTTTAATAAACCAGACACATTTCTTGGTTGTTCACACCTTGGTTTCTACTTCAATTACTGTATCCTGTGATGGTTACAGATACAGTTAATAAGCAGTTAATCACCTGTCAGTAATATATGCGTTATCATTTTCAGATAATTGTATTTAGAGTGGTACTGTCTAGAATGTGAAGCAGGTATTAATAATGCTATCCTTTACTTGAAATTGCTAAGGTTTCTCAGTGGCAGATGATTGCTTCTGTTGTTCTCTTGACATACATACAAAACTGTCAGCTTCTAGTTTCCTGTCAGCTCTCACTCTTCTCACTTTAAATCAAGTCAATTTATCTTATACTATTTGACAACTAACGGTAATTAATTTCATGGTATACTTGGCAACAGGTGTATGTTGATTCATTAACGAGCCCAGTATTTAGTTTATTATGTTTGTGTTAAACTTTATCACAATTAATAGAACACATAGTACTAAAAGAGTAATACTCTTCATTTTTTTTTCACACATCTACTTGCCTGTCCTTGACAGTACCGTGATGCTCTAAAGGATGGATAAATAACCCTACCAAGTGAAAATATATTGATTTAAGTCTGTCAGGATCTTGTACACAAAGCACACTGTTGCATAGAGATGAGCAATTACAATTATATTGAGCTAATACAAAAACAGTGTCCATTACTTCTTTTATTTCTTCTTATTGGAATGAAACAGATCCAGTGTTGATATTGCTAATTCTCGCATTATTTATACATATGCAATTAGGGTATCATGAAATAAAATCAGAAATGACAAAACTGTGTAAAGCATGCTCTTCAAAACAAGGAAGGATAACTAGTTGGACTCTTCTTAGAGTCACACATAGAAAAGCCATACAAATATATTCTGATACGTAGTTTATTCATTCTAAAATGGAGTTATGGACCGAACAAAAATTTATTTAGTGAAAACTTTCAGCTGCAAGAAAATTGAGACATAAATTGTGAACCACACAAAGATTTAGTTTCACCGTTTTTTAAAAAGTGATGTACTCGGACTTTATGGGTATGACCACATTGCATAGTGCACTGCCTCAGTGATATCACAGCTAGCTGTTACAGTGGAAGCTATATCCACACATATCAATTAGCTTTGTAGGGTATATAAAACTTGAGGAAATAACATAGAACTAATATGTTTGTACGTTCTCTGAAAACTCATTTCATATTGTTGAAAAACATTTTGGTTACAAATTCTATTTTATGATTAAAAAGAAAAAGTCAACCTTAAAATACTCATTTTTAACTTTCTTCTCACATGTTCAATTCAGTGCAGAAAAACAAAACAAAACATACAAACAAAAAAACTTCATTAACCTAAAATGACTTTTTTTTTTTTTTTTTTTTTTAGGTATTCACTAAAAAAAGAACCAGCAACATAAGTACTAATCACTCAGCACAGGTACAAGTATTCTTCAAGGTAATCCATCCTTGTGCTTCAAGTAGCTTTCAGTCTAAAAGTAAAATATTGAGATTTGACATTCAGACTAAGATTAGAAGGGTGTTCAATACAAAGGCTATAGTCTGGGAAAGGGGTGTTGAGGGTGGCCTAATTCAAACACAAAGTAGGTGCTCAAGGTAAAAGGAACAGACATGAAATGTTGGCTAAACCCTTAATTTCATCACAGGACCTTGAATCAAGGACAAGAAATTGTGAGATGATTTGATGAAAAGCCAGTGGAGGATTTCAAGGAGGGTGTAACCATATTTTGTTTAATGATAGCCAACTATTTTTAATAGGCTAGAAAGAATAGTCATGCTAATCACAAGAACTTCATAGTGCTAAGCTGTGTTAATATTTACTGGATAAACCAGGTATTTTGTAACCATTTCCTCTAGCTGTTTTTATTATTGACTGAATCATCTCCTAGTTATTCTCTTTGCACAAAGGGGCTATTCCTTTCATGGTTGAAGTCTGACAGTAACGCACTGGATCACATCAGCATGAAATATGTATTTTGATTTTTATACATTCTTGATCATATTTTTAAGTATAGTTACTGAAACTACTTTAGGGCATAACTGAAGAGCCTTTTTAAATTGTCCCTTCTGGTCGTATTGTGCTGATGAGCCTGATAGTGAAACTGGCCTTGCTGATAAAATAGCAACTTTGCAAGGCTGTAAACAATGACTTTAATCAAGATACTAAACACTTTACGGACAAAATGTTCTTTCAGACTTTCCTGATTTTATTGAGTCAGAGCAAATGTTTTGCTTTCCTTCCCGTTGTGTAATTCTCCCCATCCTCAATGTCTTCTTATCCTTACAAATCTTAAAATCTAAAGGCAATTGCTTAACCTATTTTTAATGCCCTGACAGCTGTTAATATTATAGAGTACTGCATGCTGTAAGTAATGTCTTTGCTACGTCTTGCTGAAGAGACAAGATATGAAATGCCTCTTGGGAACATATTTCATTGTGTTTCTGAAGCATATACCTGAGAAAGTCACTGTTACATACCTTTGCACTCAAAACCCACTTTCTAAAAGCATGGACATCAGCTAATCCTGATTGGAGAGTTCATGATTGCTAACAGTGAGCCCAGGTCTCCCCAGTGAAAGTAAGTTATTTGGCAACATAAATGCATACCTGGAAAACACAAACAAGCTGCCATGCAAGTTGGCTTTGGCTTGCAGCCAAGCACCCACACAGCTGCACATTCACCCCTGCCCTTCCCATGGGATGACGGGTGAAAGCAGGAAGAAGGCATGAGAGAGGGTGGTAAGTCAAAACACATGCAGGGATATCACTTACCAATCACTGCTAGTGGGCAAAACACTTGGCTTTGAGGAACTAAACTTAATTTATTATCAATTAGTATAAATATTTGAATACTGATTTGGGTACTGGTAAACCAAAGCAAGCAAGAAAAGAAACAGATATTTACACATCTAGGAACAGCTTTCCTCTCTCTTTCAGATGGTGTCAGTTTCCACAGCTTCACTCCCAAGCTCAGCTTCACTTAAGATGCCTCTATGCCCTGCTTTGTTACTGCTGCAGGTTGCATGCAGTCCCTTTAGAATATTTAGAATATGCAGTCTCCCTGGAATATTCATCTAGTTAGAGAGATACTCAGTTTGATACTTCTGTCTGAGTACAAGAGTTTTAAATATAACAAAGTCAATCATCTGAACCATTTTGAGAAGGATTTTGATATTTCAAAGTATGGCTTTAATACTCAGCAGTGAAAAAACAGAGAACAGAGAACTCAACAATTCTTTTATTAAATTTATTTTGAATAACATGATTCTATTATTATTCATTTTTCCTTTGCAATATCCTACAGAAGAGAACAAATCATTGAAATGAAACATCATTTAAGCCAAATGCTAAACACTTCATTTACAAAATGAAATGTAGCATATTTTTTTCTTCTGCAATGCAGTTTTTGGAAACTTCATATTTGATGTATTTTGATAGATCATGATTTCATGGTGCTTTCTTGAGGAACTTCTCTTACATGTTCTCCTTTGAAATGCAGTCTAGACCCAGTGACACGCAGAAATCAGGTCTGTATTTATATCAGCTCATTTTTGCGCTCATAAAGAGAGATTCTGAAACATTAAATCCCTACGTACACAACATACCTTCAGTCTGGATTTAGGTAAATTCCACATGTGGACCTTTCCTCTCCCACTCAGTCAAGAAAAGAGCACTTAGAGTGACAGAAACTAGGTTAGTATTTGTGATCTGCTGACATGAAAGAAACCCCAAACTTACCATGGCACTCAGGAAAATATATTCTGCCTATTGAGTTAATATATTATAGAAGAAATATCTATAACCCTTAATAACTTGTTCTCTGGTATGTTCCACTACAAAAAAAAAATAAATTATACTGTAATTCTTTCAGGGTTATCAAGGGTCTTTAAATATTTAAAAGCCCATCCATCAGCTGAGATAGATATTTGTCTAGCCCTCTATCTTATTCTTTAGGGTAACCTAAAAGGTATAAAATTCAGATAGAAGGGAAGATCAGTCATTTTGTGATTCTGTGGGCTGGTGTACAGATCTGCTCAGGCTGGGATGATTTCTCATCTATTGTATGTTGCTGTTCCCCATTTAGGAATTGCTTTTGACAGACTACCAATACCACCTAGCTCCTTATGTCTGCAGTATTTCAGCAATCACCTTCTAAGTACAAGTAGTAAGTAGCACTTCTAAGTTGGGTAAAAAAAAGATGGTTACTTCTATCCTCATCAAAATACTCTCTAACTTGAATGAAGATGTGTGAAGCTCAGTGAAATAGTTATATCCATAATTCTATGTCCAAGAATGGGCCTCCTAGTAAGAATAAGCATAAATGCTTCTGTGGCCTTCCCACCCTCAATTACTGGTGAAGTGTCTCATAGCACTGGATATAAAATTCAGATATCTGAAAATATAGAGTCTGTCAGCTACAGTCTGACTATCTATACTAATTCTGAAGATAAAATGAGGTTACCCTAGTGTGGCCTCCTGTTTATCCAAGCTGCATGTCCAGGGGAGCTATGGATTCATGAGGTAAAGAAGCCCATATACCTGTCTACTGCACTCAGGAGCATGGAGTGGTTGTATGCCTTTCCTAAAACCCACTGTACTGATAAGTAAGGTGGGACAAGTTCTAGGTGCCTTGTCAGTGTTTTCAACTCTGGATTGTTCAGTTCAATGCTCTGTACAAATACTAAGTGGAATTGCCTATTTTTTAATTAAGGGAAGTCAAACTAAATGGAGATTTTTCATCAGTCTTAACAGTTGCTTATCAGTCATAATATTTGGATGTATTTTTTTAGAAGACACTAAAGAAAAGCAAAAACAATCCAAAACCAAACAAACTAACAAACAAAAAAACAAACAAGAAAAACACCAAACACCACACATATTGCTTTATATGGTGGGAAGAATGAGTGCCACACTGGGATATGAATTCCAAAACAAAGCTTTAGTACGTGTAAAATGCAAACTTAAAATGTTTTTACTGGCAAATACATTTCTGTACAGAATGAAAAATATAGTTATATTTAAAGTTCATTAAGATGGAATGATATTTTTAGCAAAACCAAAGAGGTTAGCTTACTGATTTCCATATAGAATATATGCAGGTTATTTTCAAACTGAGATTAGACACAGTTTACCTTTTGCTGACAGTCACTGTTTCCTCATGAGTTAGAATAGATGGGAATGCCATTCCAATGTTAATTGGACAAGAATACTCATTGTCACAGCGGTATATCATGGAATATTCACAGTTTATATTTTACAATTTTTTTTTTCCCATTTACAAAAATGTGCATCCAATTATGCTCATAAATGCATTCATTAGTCCTCATACCATGTGCATCTGCCATAGAGGACGGAAAAGATAAGATAATATGAAAAAAAAAATCATTAATGTAATTCTGTTAATGTCTCAAAAAGGTTGATGTAGCATTTCTGTAGATTGCTAATGCTGTATGCATTAACCAATAGGAATCAGTAAAGTGCCTGGAAAATAACTCTTACAAGACAACTTTTTTTTTTTTTTTTTTTTTTTTCTTTTATGTCCTTATTTTTTTTCTTAATGACAAATGTAAACTCACAGTCTGGTAGTCCAAAATACTCAGACTGGACCAATTATTAGGACAGCGATGAAGATGCTAAAATAATCATGTCAAGTCAAAGAAACTAATGACATGTTAACACCTTATAGCAACCAGCATGTTTAGCAAATAAACCAATCTAAAAGAAACAAAAAAGGAAGCTGAAGTACTGTGTCCCAAAGACACTTTGCTAATTTGATCTATACTTTAATGGTCACATGCGTAATAAATGCCTTTAGAGGAAAAAAGACTGCCGTTGGAGAAATGCCCGTATAACTCAGTAAAATATACAGAAACAGACTATAACTTTTTTTTTTTTTTTTTTTTTTTTTTTTTTTAATACAGAAATCAGGACTTGTCTCCGCTCGGTTTTCTGAAGGTATAAAAGGTAACAAACAAGAGGATACATGAGAGGAGAAGAAAGAGCAAACCTGTCTTATGAGATGGCTCTTACCTTTGATCAATCTTATTTTCTATCATGTAAACATTATAATATCCAAACAACATAAAATATTATAAATATAGTAACTTGAGTCAGAGGACTCAGAAATGAGGAGTCAGCTGCATAAACTAAAGAAAGGCATACTTTTTTTCTGTGTTAAATACTCAATAGGACTATCCCACCATCACAAATTTATTTTTATGCTCAGGGTATTAAATACGGGCAAAATAGATTAACAGATATCTGTAACGCCCCTTCTGTCACAAGCTGTTGCAGGTTTTCTCTTTTCTCTGATGAAGAAGAACCTGTTCTGACTTTGGATAGTTAAAACAGTTGAGCAGCTCAAAGAAGAATTAAGTGCGTGCAGCCAGCATGTCTGTGGCAGGAGGTATTATAATGCCAGTTAACTGAAAAAAAAAGTTCTACTTTTTGCTGGCAACTTCCTGTCTCACTGGCTCTGGTTTAGTTTCCAAGGACATCAATACAGAAAGGTGCTGATCTTTCTGAGTATTTTTTTTTATTAGGTGATATAAAAGCAATGCAGAACTAGATGATGTCATTCATTTCTTGCTGATGCATGATTGCATGATGTCTTATCATCCCTACTAACGACTTTACAAAGATATTAAGAAGAAAGATGAGTGGTAGGTGAAAAATTGTATAACTCTATAAGAATAGGATTTGAATTCAGATGGGGCAGAAAAATCTGCGTTTTCAAGTGAATTTTTGACATCCCCTTATTATTAAAATATAAAAAGCAGAATGGGGCTTTCCCAAAATACTGGAATATATATAAATATTTTACTTTTTTTTTTTTTTTTTTTTTAATTTTGCACACGGTAAAAGAAAAGATGAGAGTGCTAGAAAATTCAGTGCTGAATAGAGACAAGTGGTGTGAAAAAAAAATGAGATGGCATTCAATACTTAACTTCCAATTATCCCTGTTAGAGTTCTAAAAATCTCAGGAATTTTTCATGAACACAAAGATGCCTTCTGAGATTAAGCTCTCATGCAGGCTTCCTAAATTTCTTGTTGTTTTTTTCCTACATTTCTCAACAGGCAAGCCTCTCATTTTGTGAAATGGACACACAATTACAAATGTGTGTTTAAATGAAAACAAATTAATAAACCATGGGGTTGTGAAATTAATTGCATGAAACTTAGTCAGATATAAGACTTAGTAAGGAGGGCAGCTAAGATGTTTGCTTATGGGTACAGAAAGATGTAGCTTGTTGTTTGTTAGCTTCCTGATTAATTAGCAAAACAAAGAAACAACAACAACAACAAAACAACAAACAATGGCAACAAACAAACAGAATTTTCCTAGCCCAATGCAGGAATGGTAGTTACAGTCACATGCTGGCTAATGCAGTCACCAGCCACAAAGGACAGATGGCAGTCTCTGAGGATGCATTTGTACAGAAAGAGAAATCATCACCTCTGGAGTTTTTAGGTGAAAGAGAAAGATGGGAGAAAAACAATAAAGTGTCTGTTTCTGAGATTGTAAAACCTGACATGTCCATCCCAAAACAATAATAATAACTTGCTTTTCCTCTTACCATTGGTTGGTGGCACCTGGTTCTTTCTTGACCTGTGATCATATAGCATTTAATTCCTGTTTCACACAAGTTTACAGAACCACAGAAGCTTGTGGTGAATCACCACCAGGGTGCTTTATGGAAACAGCTTTCTGTCCGTTGAGAGCTCAAAGCTTTCCATTGAACTAAGCATGTAACATCCATATATCCAAAGGGGGAAAAAAAAAAAAAAAGTAATATTTGCCAATTCTGTTATTATAAAAAATGTGTGCTTTTCAGAGTTGGCATGATGTGACTTATTATTAATCCTTTTGATTGCTTTCTGTTTATATTTTCATATCAAATCCAAACTCTTACATTCCCCCCTACCTTTTTTCTCTAAAGCACTGTACTAATTTCTGGGACAAGTGGGCATATTAAATTCATATGCTTTTCTGAATAATGCCATATCCTCCAATCAGATATATTATGGGTCATTCAAGGTGAGTCAGCAAATAGAATTTGCCATGAAGCTGTTTACATATGTATGTATACAAATGACAAATACAGAACACAATGTCAAAAAGCAAGAAAATGCAATCAAGAATTTATATAGTGGCATTACCATTCAAGTAGAAAAAAGCCTCTGTAAAACAATGAAGTCACCCTGGATCTGTCAGTTAAAAGCAAATGATTGCCACTAATATTACTTGTAGAAAAATAGCATCCATAAAAGTAACAATTTTTTTAGAGTAGCTATTTTGTTGCTATACAAAAGAACAATGCCCCCCTCTTACTTCGCCTTTCTCCTTGAAGGTACCTGCTTTTTATAAGGAAGTGCAGCGTGAATTGGAATAGCTACAAGCACTGAGTTTGAATTCAGTTATTTCCCGATTTTCCTTTTAAGGCATGACATATAATCCCATAATGCTGTGCATGCCTACAAGTTTAAATTTTCAACCAAAGCAACTATGAGATCTACTTTAGGTGCCCAGTGCTCTTTGATCTTTTTTATGTATGCATGTATTTTCTTTACTGTCTATCCCACTCTGGCACCACCTGCATCTTGGTGTATTGGAGTTATGTAAACACAGAATAAAGAAACAAAAAGACTATGGTTCAATGAACTCCAAATTTATTGTTTAAAATTATAGGGTTAAACGATGGGAGGAATATCAATATAAAAGAGACATAGGTGAAACCTATATATAGAGAAAGATAAAGATTTATGCAAATAACTCATTTGTGCTGCTGCTTTTCCTGTGTCCATTTTGCTGTGTACACACATGCATAAGAACACAGCCAAACATAAAACCACTATGTTGGGAATCCTGACATACTTACCCCAAAAGCATATAAAGTGGACAGAGAAGCACTCTCCGGAAGAACAGTGCTACACAGGAAGGGATAGGATCGTCACTAAGACACAGGGCTAATCAAAGAAGTACTGTTGGTCTAGGACTGTTGCTATGAGTGTATTTCCACTGCACAAGGCAGTCTAGCACTGAGACAACAAAGCTGAAGGTCAGCTTCCTACCTGCAATGTAACTGCAGCAGTGTGGAGCTTAATATGGTCTAATTTATCTTGTTTTTAATAACAAGGGAAAAATGTTCAGCTAGGACCTAGAAGAGAGTTTGAAGAACAGTCTCACTCTTCTGAGCTAACTGTTTAGAGAATGTTCCAGGGTCAGCTCCTGTCGACACAATTATTTGACATATATTAACCTGACTGAAAGCAAAACCAGTAGCAATGATATCTTAACTGTATCTGGAATGCTGATTCTTGCAGAACAAGGCTCAACTGGAAACAAAACAATACAAAACAAAACAAAAACCCAACAACCCAAAACCAAAGCAAAAACACCAAAAAAACTATGTTTCAATGACCACTTAATCACAATGATCACTAGAAGAGACACTTCAAAGAGTTCACAATTTTCTATGAATATTTTTATGGAGCTTTACAAAGGAAGTCATCTCTTGTTTTAGATTAATCCTTAAATGATTGTTTTTCTAAATTCATATTCCATTATTTTCCTTAGAAACATTAAGGTCAATAATTGTGAAGCTTCTGTTTTATTAATTATTTTATAAAGGGTAATGTTTTGTTTGAGGATTTTTTCTAGTGAATTCCATGGGTTGTGTAAATCCCTGCTGACCATTGAGCAGTTTCATCTAAATAAATATTCCCACTAATAAATAACACTGATTTACAGCACAACTGCAAAATCCAGCACTGCTTTGTCTTTCCCAGCCTGTCCAGTTTTGCTTACATGTGTGCTGCCAGTGTACTGTGCACAAACATTTGGTGAGAACAAGATTTATATCAATACACTCATCTGACCTCTTGATCTAAACTGACTAGTCCCTGGTGTTTTGAGGTGAAAAGTGTTCAAATTAATGGCCTGTGCAACAGGGTTCAGGAACTTCAACAATTTAAATCTTCTGAAACATTCCAGCAACATTTTATGATCATAAATCAAAGTAGTTTATACTCTTAGTAGTATTGACAGGATTTCAAATATTTCTAAAGGGAAAATATTTCTTTGGCACCGAGCTGGATCTCTGTTTCTTAAAATACTGGCTATAATATTTTGCCGATAACTCCAATTCATGTGGCTTAAAATTCATAAATTTGTAGGAGCTTAATGGATGTCAAGTGTAGAAAGACACAAGAGTATCTAGTGTGAACCTTTGCATGTTCCATACCATAGAATATCATCGCTTTATTCCTCTCTATCAAAATTACTCATATTTAACAATGCATAGCTCTCCAATATGTGTTAAAAGTATCAAATGATAGAAACTCCATAACTATGCTAGGTAGTTTATTTCATTACTTTATCACTGTTCTGTTTTGTTTATGTGTGTGTGTGTGTGTGTCTCATTTCCATTTAGAGTAGATTAGCTTTAATTTCCAGAGGCTTCCAGCAACAAGTTTCTGTGAGATGAAAAGCTTGTTTTTTAGATTTTTAAAAATCTTTATAAAGAATATATAATATAAACATATAATATAAACATACATTACTCACTTTGTGTATATATATATATATATATATATATATATATATTTTTTTTTTTTTTTTTGATAAAAAAACAGATCACCCACTCACTCACAGGCATTTTCCCCAGTTTCTGCATTACTTTTGCTGCTCTTCTAAGCTTAGTAGTTTACAAACTGTAGAAACAAACAAACAAAATAAATATGAGAGAACCATTCTAGTATCAGTCTTGTCAATGTCAAATATAGAACAACTACTCTGTAGTGAGAGATGCTTCACTTTCACAATCCAATAATTGACTATGAAGCCTTTTTGCTCTCTTACTATGCAAATAAAAGGGAATTCAGTATGTAAGGAAATATGAAATTTGTTAGCTAGCAAAGCACAATGATTTATAAGAGGCAATAGATATTATGGTTCACCTTTAACCTAAAAGAGATCATCTCCTGGGCTAATAAACATTGTCCTGTTAGCCTGTAATATGTATAGATAACATACCAACACTGTTGTGACACTAGGTGTCTTGATACTTGAAAGATTTACTTACAGAAACATGACAACCATGGTAATGCTGTCAGTGCTGCTATAACGCTTACTTACTGGTGCTCAGTTTACCCCCAAAGTAAAGTAACATATATAACTATGTAAGGCTGTTTTTGATTGAGTACATGAAAAGATTGCTTAAAAGACAAAAGGTTTTGAGGTGTGTTTCTTTGGAGCTGCTACTTTAAGACAAGATCTACAATATCTGTCAATTATCTTATTACTGCCAAACCATGAACTTGTGAAAGGAAATTACTGCTAAGTTTTGTTCTAATGAAAGAACTTCTTCAGATTTTAGCAATATGCAAAAGTTAATTCACATATTGTCTAGTTTCTGCTGTGCAAATATTCAACATCCCAGTAATAACTTCAAATTTCAAATGGCTTCTCACAGGGAAAGACTTTAAAAAGAAACAGGTATATAACTTGCCATTCCTCTACCTGACAGTCAACACCAAGGACTTCATTACTGTGATTTATCTCAGCCTCCCATGGGTTGCTCATGTTGAAGGTTTTTTCTTCTGTTATGAACTCTACATTTTTTCTACAGTCATAATTTTCTAGGGTACAGTTGCAAATGCTAGAGTTCAGAGTCCCTACAATCTTGTTTCTTTGACTACGCTAAGACCATGTAAGGACAAGGTCTGATGTAGCCAGGGGTTTTGTTGCTTGGAAAGAACACTTAGCCATCATTATTTGATAGTCTATAAATCCACATGCCATTAGAAAAATTATCAACGCTCTTTCAATATTTATTTCCAGACCACTGAAATGAACATAGAACAAGGCTAGGTCTAATATTAAAGACTATAAAACAGTGCTAGCAATATCCATTTTCAGAGATGGTTCCCTTGCTTTGAGAACAGTCAGGAAGTGAGTACTTAATCCATTTAACACATGCTTTATTGATACTATGTAGAGTTCATTTTTACATTGATAAAATTGATGATCCATGATAAAATTCAAATGCCTTACAGAAGTCTTAAGAATGTTACTTCCATATAGCTACCTTTATTAATTGAGCAAGAAAACATCAGCAAACTGGTAAAACTCCGGTGACTTGAAAAACTAATATCTCAGAATTATCACTTTTTAAAATAACACAGATTCTCTGCTTAGTGCAAAAACCATGGAGATAGCATTCAATAGCCAAAATATAGGTTTAACTCAACCCAGGTTTAGTTTTTTTTTTGTGACAGTGCTCCATAAGAGATCATTGTGATTCAATTATCATTTCCTTACTTCAGTTCAATAAAGCTTCTCAGGCTGAGAAAATGCCTTTCAGCTAAAAAAAAAAAAAAAAAAAAAAAAAAAAAAAAAAGTCATCATTATCTTGACCTTGATACATGTGTAAAAAATAAAAAAATGAAATCAAGATATCAGAAATGAATCCAAGAAACCTAAGACTTACCTAATTGTTTTAGACTTTACTAGGAAAATCTGACATTCCTGTTGAAGTCAGATTTTCAAATCTACCTCATTAGGGTTTTTCTGTGTTGTCTTGTTATTTTTGTTTCCCAGTAGTTTGGAAAACTATTGAGGAAACCAGTATTAAAGGTAGTTATTTAGGATTTCTGTTCACTTTACGGTGTGGCAGTTAGGTATCTGTTTAATCATTTAGTTACCACCTAAAGAGTCCTTCAAATAATCATCCTCTGAATCTCTCTATAACTTACTAGAAGCACATAGGTGATTAAATTTCAAAATCTGGGAAGATGACACCTATACCCCTAGCTAATATTTGCACAAGGTCTCCATAAAAATACAGAAAGCTCCTTAAAA